CGCTTACGGAGCGGCAGTTCAGGCGGCGATCCTCAACGGCGACAAGAGTGAGGCCGTTCAGGACCTGTTGCTGTTGGACGTGACGCCCCTCTCGTTGGGCATCGAGACGGCGGGCGGAGTGATGACCACTCTTATCAAACGCAACACAACGATCCCCACCCGACAGACGCAGACATTCACCACGTATTCAGACAATCAGCCCGGAGTACTCATTCAGGTCTATGAGGGCGAGAGAGCGATGACCAAAGACAACAATCTTTTGGGCAAATTCGAATTGACAGGCATTCCTCCCGCGCCCAGAGGTGTGCCTCAGATTGAGGTGACCTTTGATATTGACGCGAACGGCATTCTCAACGTCTCGGCTGTCGACAAGAGTACCGGAAAGGAGAACAAGATTACCATTACTAACGATAAGGGAAGGCTTTCTAAGGAAGAGATCGAGCGAATGGTGAAAGAGGCCGACGCTTACAAAGACGAGGACGACAAGCAAAAGGACAGAATTCAGGCCAAGAATGGACTCGAATCGTACGCTTTCAACATCAAGTCCACCGTCGAGGACGAGAAAGTGAAGGACAAGATCCCAGAGGACGACCGCAAGAAGATTCTCGACAAAGTGAATGATGTGATCAAATGGTTGGACACAAACCAATTGGCAGATAAGGAGGAGTTCGAGCACAAGCAGAAGGAGATGGAAGGCATCTGCAATCCAATCATCACTAAACTCTATCAGAGCGCTGGCGGCGCTCCCGGAGGCGCAGGATTTCCCGGCGGATTCCCTGGAGCCGGTGGCGCACCCCCTGGCGCTCCCGGTGGCGGCGCTTCAGCCGGTGCTGGCGCTGGAGCCGGACCTACCATTGAAGAGGTCGACTAAACNTGGAGCCGGACCTACCATTGAAGAGGTCGACTAAACCACTCACTACTTACAGATTGTCACCCAATTCACTAATTATCACTAAATTCTCATTTTATTAATTAACAAATATCTCGTAATTTATTATAATTTTTCTATTCATTAGAATTTAATTTCTTATAACAAATTGTAATTGAAATGTAATGACAAAAATTGTTTATTAATAAATAATTATTAGTTAAATATTAAATATTGCTTTATTTTATTAATACTTATGCATACAGTTAATTGTGTGGAAAAACAATACAGCGATTCATACATTACTATTGGTTAAACAAATGTAATTTAACGCCTATTTAATGTTAGTTAAATATTAAATATTGCTTTATTTTATTAATACTTATGCATACAGTTAATTGTGTGGAAAAACAATACAGCGATTCATACATTACTATTGGTTAAACAAATGTAATTTAACGCCTATTTAATGAATTACTGTATATTAATATGAGTTTTATGTAATATGATTAGCGTTAACCAAATTGTTATGATTAGCTGTGTTTATGATGCAAACGTGATAATTATTGCATTTTTACACCTCTTTCATAATACGATTATAGGTTTAATATTACAATTAAAACATTTGAATACAGTATAAAAAATACTTGTAATAAAAATTATAAAATCAATTAAATGTGGTTTCATCTCAAACTGCACCACAATCACAGCCTCATGTGTCACGTCGTTTACGAATGACTCTCAATAGTATCACATGTATTGAGTAGTGATGTTGTCATCAAATGATTGTCCAAATGTTAAACAATTTTTAACAATATTTTGTGAAATACTGTTTAAAGTGTTTATCAATTATTAATTGATTGTTAATCTCATGTGTAGTCTTCACTCAATCTGAATGTCTTGAGTCAATCACTTTTATTGTGTGTTTATTTTGTAATTAAATGTAAAACTCATAGAAATGATGCAAATTATGAGTGATTTGATGTGTTTTGAAAACATTAATGAATTCATAGCGAGTGAGTGATTAAGTGTTGCTTAAAATATGGACATTAATGGCAATAATGATTAATAACTTAAACAAAAACAAAGAAATGTTTATTACAAGAGCTCTTCAGAAGATATTAAACGACAGAGAAATCAAGAAATCACACAACAGTCAAGTGAGGAAAGCCTGCGAATCAGCTCTCGGTATGTCTTCACTCACTTCTTCACACATGTTATGATTTATTCATTTTATATTTGATTGTCTTTAGAGGACATTAAGAAGGAATCGCAAGAAGTGGTGAACAATGAGGTGAAGGAGACGGAGGTGTCGTCAGCTCTTCCGCAGCCAAAGCAGGACAGTATAGTGTCGGTCGACGCGGAAAAGTATTTCTTGCCGTTTGAACTCTCGTGTCAATCAAAATCGCCGAAAATAGTGGTCACGGCTTTGGACTGCATTCAGAAACTCATCGCTTACGGACACATCACTGGCAATAGAGTGGACCCAAACAATGGCGACAAACTTCTTATCGACTCGATTGTGGAGACCATATGTGGCTGTTTTCACGGCCCCAACACTGACGATGGCGTGCAGTTGCAGATCATTAAGGCATTGCTCACAACAGTCACTTCCCATTCCTGTCAGGTTCACGAGGG